TGGTGTTCTAGAGACTTTCTCCAAGTTTTGTTGAGCTCCTCACAACTGTCCAAAAGTTTTCCTCGGCTGCTATAACGTCATCATTCGAGACGAAATTGGTTCATGTCAAGGAACAGATGACCCAGATCACCAGAACAGGGCGCTGAAGGAGTTCAACATCCAGTGCATCCTGTCGTGACAAACATATGTCACCAAATAGTTGGTGACAACATCCATCTGGCAAGATTGGTCACTGACTATCTCATACATGCGACGTCCCAATGCAGAATATAGTCAATTTTAAGTACCCCATTGCTGATAAACCACCGACTCCAACGGGATCTGGCACAGTAATTCAGGATACAAAGGCTATGGTTTCTCCAGCAGAGCTACACAGACAGACAGACAGACAGACAGACAGAGACACACACACACACACACACACACACACACACACACACACACATACATACATACATACATACATACATACATACATACACATTTGTGTAGCGCCGATATCCAGCTCAGCTGCTCAAGGCGCTTTGTTTTTTCCCTCGATCACTGGATGTCAATCTCAACTGCACGTCCTATTATCAATCTCAACTCCCTGGGGATAATACAATTGCAGCCACTAAAATACTTTAGGCGCACCGAGTTAGTGTCGCTTTCGCATCCCTACGAGGTACCCATTCATAGCTGGGTGGACTGATCCCTCAAAGGTAACGCCCGATTCAAAGTCGTTATCGGTTTCGAAGGGGTTTTCGGTTTGGGTAATAACAATCCCATCTGTCTATTGTAGAGGTTTCAATATACACGTTGCATATTCCTCGATACTTCGGAAATAGTACAAATAATAACAGTGAAATCCTTTCGCTGGTAACATCCAGTGAAAACACTGCATATAATCATGAAAATGTAACAGGCAAACTTGTTTTAATAAAACAAACCAACATAAAATGCAACATTTGAAATTTGTACCTTCTCGTTTTGTTCTGAACTATACTTTTTATACTTTTAAAAAGAGCGGGATCAATGCTTGTCGTAAGAGGCGACCAACGGGATCGGGTGGTCAGGCTCGCTGACTTGGTTGTCACATATGCTCATGCTGTTGATCACGGGAGTGTCTGGTCAAGACTCGATTATTTACATACCGCCGCCATATGGCTGGAAACTGCTGAGTGCGGCGTAAAATTAAACTCACTCACTATTGCATCGACCGATGCTCGTGCCATGTTCATCACTGGATCGTCAAGACTCGATTATTTACAGACCGTCGCCATATAGCTGGAATATTGCTGAGTGCGGCTTTATACGACCAACCAAGTGAAGGTCATCAAAACGCGCTAGACCTCTTGTGTTTGTTTTATTATCCACTGTAATACATAGGCTCTGCATTCTTGCTTTAATGCAGTATTTGTCGTCAGACTGGGAATGCTCATATATACGATGGACGTCTAAAGGCTATGTTCATGCTTCAAACAGGCAGAACTCATTGAGAAGTAGCCAATATGTACAATGTGTCTCTTTCTGTGCTTTGTTGACTTGGAAACATGTTTCTGCAGACACAAACCTTTCAGCGACAAGTGCACTGTCAACTCAACAATTTACGTCCAAGATAAATTAATCAGAAAGCAGGTTTTAAGAACTTCAAGCCCAATGTAATCGTTGCATGCTCGGCGACTACGTGTTATGCCACCCTTGACAAATCGACTCTTGCGAGGCATCTATGGTTTTCTGAGAGCGGAACTGCGGAATAGCTGATGACTTCGTCTCTTTTCAGATGGCTGTGAACTTTGTCAGCAATTAAGTCGAGATGAGTTAAATACGTCGCATCAGCATTATCTCAGCCATATAGCGACGAGGCCAAGTCTGCATACATGGACACTTTAAGTGCAAAGCTTAAAAGATTTTATTTTAAAAAAACCCAACAACCCACACAAAAAAAAAATGTTTATTCATTGCATTATTATTTACAAACGGAAAAAGTCACATCACAACATTTAAAAACAAGCACTCCGTCATTCACATTACATGGTTACACTTGTCAGCAATTAAGGTTCTTAAGAGTGAGTTTAGTTTTACGACGCACTCAACAATATTCCAGTTATATGACGGCGGTCTGTAAAAAACTGAGTCTGGACCAGACAATCCAGTGATCAAACTCTTAACGAACCGTCATAGGGTCAGTGTAAGGCAGCCAGACATATTTGGGGTAGGTTCTGTATTGACATGGGGCGGGATCACCATGATTGCTTAAATAGCATTGAATATTGTCCAAAGGAGTGTCACTGGACAGTAATAATAATGTGTGAACTCATTTTGCGCTTGCCTCCATACGCAGTATCTATGCTCCAAGCGTTCACATTATTACCTCGGTCAATGGATCAGTTTGCACTACCGGCCTGTGAGGCACCAGAAAGTCAACAGCCATAACCATCTCATCCCACCGGGTACCCATTCACGTCTTGGTGAAGAAAAGCATACTATAAGCAAAGTCACTTGCTTAAGGTGAGACCCCGTTTGCTACACATATTACATGTGCTTTGTTGTGGGGCAGGACTGTCCAAGAAACTCTCCGGAGTGAAGCTAGCTGCTAGACAACGGGACTCTCCGCGACCAACGTTGACATAGTAGTATCGGTAATTGTAGACACCAGTACACATAAATATATTTACTGCATATTAGTTGATCACATTAGTTACTCAAAGCTTCCCTCATAGTATATAACTTTACATGCAGGCGGCTGCCATTGAAATACACAGTAAAGCCATGTCGTTTTCAAGAACTGTTTGGTTTAAACACATACATTACAATAGTTACAAGAAACACTAGAATACTTTAATTTGTTTCATTTGAAAGTAATAAGTATCTGGTAACGATAAAATCACAATGGCAACAAAAATGTACATAAGCACTAAATCAAGTTTACGTAGTTGTTTTCAAACATGAAATGCAACCCATACTAAAGTACTGTCTGAAATAGAAAAAAAAATCTTTTTTCGCATTGATATCTACAATTTATGTAGTTAATATGTGTGAAATATCTGTTGAACTAAGTTCGGCCTAACTACATTCTCAGTGTAAGGGAGATAGGAAACGTAGAAAAAGGTCTTTACTGTGGAGAGATTAGTGCAGAAATGAGAAATGCGTTTTTTTCCAAAGTCCAAAGCGACTTATTTGGAACAGAGCATGCAATTTTTAAATGTCCATTTTGAAATTAAACTTAGCTTCATTATAAACGATAGCTGACGTAAATAATAATAATTTTAATACTGAAACTATGAAGGATGTAGCCACCATAGAGTCCCACTATCACTATAAAAAGAAACATGTAGGAGGGGTCGTCTCAAAAGCAAATACAGGACGGGTGTCGCAGACGATGGTTGGGGTCGGGCTGGGGGATAGAGATATAAGCTGAGATAAGATAATCCTTTAGGGGAATTAACTGGGAAGCAAACAGCATGTCATAACAATTTACAAATACTATCCAGTCCTGTCGATCTTCGGGTGGTCATGCCACCTATATATTTTAAGACATTTAGTACGATGGCTAATTTAAGCTTTTCCATGGGTATCATACCCTTTCACGTATCTAAACATAAACTTTATGATCAATAGATGAGACATATTCAACACACATGAAAAAAACATAAAATATTTTTGAGATGACCCCTTGTGCTTGTAGGCAGGACGTGCATTTCATGCCAGGTGAGACGACGGTCCGTCGTCATAATTGGCTGAGCGACCTAATTGCCATCTATTGTCCGATCTAAGTTTTACACGATTTTACGAGTAAACATGCTTTTGAGGATATACTATTACGCATCCCACTGAATGCCAGTTAGGCCGATGTGGGCTATTTCGATATATGCTATTTAGTGTAAATTTATCAATTTTAAGGATACAGAGTAACAGCCTAAACACGTATTTTTCCTATTTCCGACAGTACTTTAGCTCTACGTACTGTATACACGTATATAATTTATTTTATGATGCGAGCATATTTTTCCGGCTACCTGATTGGTCTAAACGCGGTCACGTGACCGTCGACAGAAAAGCATATTGATTCCAACCCAGGGTCCCGTTTCACAAAACTCTCGTAAGCCTAAGATCTCGTAACTTTTCTCGTAGCATTCGTACCTCCTATGTTACTAGGAATGGTACGAGATAAGTTACGAGACCTTAAGCTTAAGAGAGCTTCGTGAAACGGGGCCCAGGGTCCCGTTCCTCAAAGCGATCGTAGCGCTGAGATGATCGTAACTCCCATACTTTAACATAGACTTACGACAGTCGTAGCGCTACGATCGCATTGAGGAACGGGGCCCAGGGGCCCGATCCACAAAGCATTCGTAACGTTACGACCTGTCGTAACTCTATAGTTTACCATAGGTTTACGAATGTCGTAGCGCTACTAACTCTTTGTGGATCGGGGCCCAGGTCCGACAAAAAGTCATATTGTCGTGAGTTACTATGACGTCAAGCTATGACGTCATTCTATTGTTTACATGTCACAGTATTGTTGACATAACGTTATTGGTTTGTAGTGAAAATAAAATTACTTTTCTTGACTAAATGGACATGCTTTGGATTTTAGAAGCTTTTTTTCGGTAATTGCATAATAAAACAATTAATAGACTGGCGAATTCGGTCAATACCTTCGTCCTCGGTCAATGTTGCTTTTCGCGGGTCCATAAAAACAGATATTGACCTCATCACCAGTCTATAATTGTATAATAGTTTGTGTCTAACAAAACGTATGCGCCGTCGTTTCCAATCTTTCCTTAAATGGCAATAGAACAGAATCGAACATTCGGCAGTATTGGCTGAGATAACCTGCGATGTTGTTAGGATGCTGTTTATGTTAGATTATAAGTTTCGAATCCACGTTAGTTTAGTTGCGATAGGAAAGTTATTCTTCAAGGCGAATGTACATGAACTAGTTTATGAAAGAATATGTAACAATGATATAAATTCATTATTATATCAGAAAATTCGTATCAAAGAACGACGCGAAACCGAATACGAAACTGTCCCCGAGGCAGATATTCGGAGCTGTCGAGCCAAGTAAGATGTCGACGGAGACTTTGGAGGCCCAGCTAGCAACAATTGCACAAGAAAGTGCATTCCTGAAGAAATATTTCTCTCTTAGGAACAAATGCGAACAGATGCACCAGGTACTTGACCGCTTGAAGTCTTACTTACCGATAACGGAGTCAGAAAACGCTGTATATGGTGATCGAAATTAGGACATTTCTTCATGTAAATTCAGTTCTGTGACTACTGTGCTATTAACAAAATGACTTTATGTATCAGCCAACCATTAGACAATATGAGAACTTTATGAATGCATTTCAGGTATTACTGAGATTTACAAAACTTAACTTTTAGCGCTAATGTGACCGGGTTCTTCGATTCAGTGATTCACCAAGATTCACTGTCAGACCTCTTTTATTGCTTTATTTAGCTAAAGTGAGCAGTGTTGGTGTAGTAGATCCATAGGGCCGGGACGATTCCAGATTATTTACTATGCAGAGAACGTATTCCCCTTCCCTACACCTGCTGTGGGTCTCAAGGGTTGGATTCTAAATATCTGATAAAACTGGAAAAAAAACCTGTTGTGATACACTTATGAAAAGAAGAAACGTGCACTGAAGTTGACTGAAGAATTATCTGTATTCAAACTCATGAAAGACAGATCGAATATGTGCAAAGAAAGAACATTTCTGACCCTGACCCCATTAATGGTCCAGCTCAGCTCCAAATCTGAAGTATGTCCAATGCATGGCCCACAAATCCTCACTAACTTGCTGTGAGAAAGATTACTAGTAATAGCTTCCTGTTTGGGCTTAGACTATCAGCACCTTTAACTGCAGGAGGTTCCAATCACTAATCAGCCATTGTGTTCCTCAGTGGAGTTATTGTCAGTGAGTGACTTTGGGTTAAATTCTGCTTTGGGCAGTATTCCAGTATACCAGGTACATCAGTTTTTTTCTGATTTATCAATTTTATGCATTAGGAAGTTCCAGAGTGACAAAGTTCTGATGTTTCTTGAAATGCATGAACATCTAACTGAAAAACCTAGGAACATTATCAGTGTAAACTGGGATTCAAACTCGTGGTAATAGGTTTCAGGGATGCTGCATCACACCTTAGTCGACTGGTCCACCCTTCCCCAGGAGTTATGTCCTCGTTTTATATACTGTTTCAGGCAAATGAGAAGCTGGTGAACAGGATTCAGCATGTTAAAAAGCTGATTAAAAGGACAAAGAGAGAAAGGAGGTACGTGAGTCGGTGTGATTCCAAAACATGTAAAACTAAGGTTGTTAATTACCTGTTGGTAATGACTCAAGTTTCAAATTTATTGCAAGAATGTGGTCCATGTGGGATATGAGACAAAACAGACCAGCCAGTTTGGCAAAGACATACCAGGAAAATGACTGACACTAACAACTTATTGTCCAGTCAGAGACTGAGAGAAATTCTGTGGGTGGTTTCTGATTGGAGAGACTGAGATCGCATACGAAGCCACTCTTACAGCATGTACAAAGATTCAGGTTTTTAACATAACTAGGGATTTACATGGAGTCCTGTATTTGAGGGTCCCTTGGACCCATACTCATAATTTTCAGGGGTCCTGGACAACAAAATGAGGGTTCCAGACACTTAAACATTATTATTAATACTGTTATTGTATTGTGTGTCATGATCATCACATTGTTACAGTAATTAACTTGCAAATAATACCATAACCCAGATAGTAGCAAACTCAGTGATAACTTATTGTCACTTGATTGGAATTTTTACAAAAAGTATTTGGACTTTTTCTGCTTCCCTGTGGATGCGCTACTAAATTTTATTGCGTCCATTGTCAATTTTTATGCGTATAGGATGCAGGAATTCGCGTCCTGTAAATCCCTGCCTAACTATCAGACATATAGATCTACCAGGTACATCATCAATATAAATCAATACTGAATTAGTATCACCTTAGTAAACAGATATGGAAGGTGTATAGATGCATATTTTTATGCTTGACTTTTCAATTTAGGATTTCAATTAAGCAGTCTAAGTAAACTTAGGCTCAGTATTATTCGTTACACTGCTATACTGAGTCTAACAAAACCTTGTGGAAGGTCGCGTCAGGTAACCTTTGAGCGACCTATGACCGTCCAATCAAACGCGAGACGACCGAACGATTTCACCAATCAGACAACGGCTACTATTTAGGGTTCCGGTGGGACGTACAAAATGGATTTTCTCTTTCCCGGTCGCCAACACTGATCTCACAACAAATGAAAACCCACATAAAACACAGATATATGACCTGCAGAATATACGCCTTTGGGTTTCTGTTGACATGGTTATCATTAGCTAATATTTCCACAAGCTTACATCCTTGAATACTGACAAAACGCTATTTTCAGCGACTGTTTACTCACTGTTTTGGCGTGCTTCATGTGCATCACTCGGAAGCAATCGTACGGAAAATAGCATTCAGAATCGTTCGTGTACGAACTTTTTCGAGGTAAAACTTCAAAAGGTATGTGCGAATGTCAACGTTTACAATTTGGTAAGCTGTGTTCTGATTGGTCAATTGAAAAGGTTACCTGACGGGTCCTTCCACAAGTTATTTTTAGACTCAGTATAGCAGTGTAACGAATAATACTGAGCCAAAGTTTACTTAGACTGTCAATTAAGGTTATGAAAACTATAAATACTGTAAGTAAATGGTAAACATCTTCCTACCTCTATTCAACCTTGTATGTAGACATGTGCACTGTGTACTCAGTTTGGACGGCATGTTTCAGGTACTTAGTAAGCCGACTAGAGGAACATGGAGACAACTTTCGTGAAGCACAGGTGCCAGTTATGTGGGAGGTATGATAAACTCATAAATTCAAAACTAACTCAGTTGGATAGAACGAGGCTTTAACTGTTGTTTGTTTGTTGTTGTATGTTTATCAAGGTAACATTCAGTCATATTTTCTGATGAGGTCTATCAAGGTGAACGGAATAAAAATTATCACATCAAATGCACACTTGTGTAATTTTTGTGCTTCTTTTCATTGTCAGTGAGACTGATTGTCTGGACACTTCAGTTTTTCACTATTTTTCCTTATCCTTACTCATGCTCTTTGCTTGTCTCCTTCTTCTTGCGAATGATAGTGGAACACTTGAATCCCTTTTTGAAGCTCCCTTCAAAATAGTGGACGTAAAATCACTCACCCAAGGTTGCCTCCCTTTACTGTTTTGGCGCCAAAATCAGTCACATGATCGCCCATGCTTGTCACTCTCTCCTTCTTCGCCTTAGAGGACGGTTGTATCCTTTTAATTTTAGGCATTTAGGAAGATATACTAGAAATATGGTTTGAAATTTTTGTCTAAATTATCTGTTGTTTCATGTTGTTGACACGATATTTCATCTTGTTTACAATTAATGAAAACTTGCATTCGTTGCAGGTACCGGTTGTCTGCTGCTGATCCTCATCTATTATGTCCTAATTGTACTTCTACATGTTCTTCCAGCTTTCGCTGTCAACTTTGTCAGCATTTATCTGAAATTGAATTCAATAATTATTTATTTTCCATTTTTCGACATGCTAAGGACTGGTCTAGAAGGCATTTACAAGTCATGTCTAAACCGAGTGAATGCGCTGATAAATGTTTATTGTTTGCTGCTGAGATTCACCATTCCAGTGGTTTGCCGGTCGCCGTTGTCGCAGAACTTCAACCCGGGTATCTTCATGCAGCAGTTCACTGAGCAGATGTTGGAGCTGATGGAACGACGCTCCACGCAGGAGAAGGCTGCGGCGAAGACCCCATCTACGACAAGCCTGCACGAAGGACAAGCAGTGTGCACTTCGCATCCGGTTGAAGATAGAAGCCTGCGTGAAGGGTCATGCACTAGACGATCGTCTATGGCAACTTCCAGAGAACCTGGCAGCCCTGATAACAATGAGACTGCTGTAGATGTTCCAGAAGAGCCTATTGAGGAGCCTTCGCTCAGGAGCAGAACTAGACGTTCTCCGGAGCAGCACAGAAGCAGATCACAAGGATCGTCTTCGACCTCAGATACAGACAACCATCAGGAGCCTGCACGCAGGCACTCCTCATCCCATAGAAGAGAATCTACAACTTCACGAGGCTCAGAGATACGCCTCAAGACTCCAGGGAGGAACCTGCACTTATTTTCCATTCTTCGACATGCTGAGGACTGATCTAGAAGGCATTTACAAGTCATGTCTAAACCGAGTGAATGCGCTGATAAATGTTTATTGTTTGCTGCTGAGATTCACCATTCCAGTGGTTTGCCGGTCGCTACTACGGAGCATGTGTCTGTGGCAGAGGGGGGCTCCGGCTCCAGGAAGAGATTGTCAACGTCTGAAGTAGCCTCGTCGCAGTCTAAGAAGACCAGGTCATCGTCTTCACAGAAAAAGAAGTCGACTGCAGATAAGACTTCGGCGAAGTCTTTCCACGGTGCAGCACAGAAGACGAGGTCCTTCTCTGCAGAGATCATCCCTCCAGACGAAGTAGACGTGTATGACGATCCACCTATGCTCATTCCTGAAGTAGCAGTTAAGAAGAAGACGAGATCCTCTTCTACAGCGACATCAGTAGCCATCACAGTCGCTACAAGTACAGCGGTCCTTGGAAGAAGCCTCATCCCTCTCAGATGCGTCGTCATCTCTGCAGCAGCAGCAGCAGCCGTTGTCGCAGAACTTCAACCCGGGTATCTTCATGCAGCAGTTCACTGAGCAGATGTTGGAGCTGATGGAACGACGCTTCACGCAGGAGAAGGCTCGGCGAAGACCCCATCTACGACAAGCCTGCACGAAGGACAAGCAGTGTGCACTTCGCATCCGGTTGAAGATAGAAGCCTGCGTGAAGGGTCATGCACTAGACGATCGTCTATGGCAACTTCCAGAGAACCTGGCAGCCCTGATAACAATGAGATTGCTGTAGATGTTCCAGAAGAGCCTATTGAGGAGCCTTCGCTCAGGAGCAGAACTAGACGTTCTCCGGAGCAGCACAGAAGCAGATCACAAGGATCGTCTTCGACCTCAGATACAGACAACCATCAGGAACCTGCACGCAGGCACTCCTCATCCCATAGAAGAGAATCTACAACTTCACGAGGCGCAGAGATACGCCTCAAGACTCCAGGGAGGAACCTTATCCCAACCGGTCACCTGCGCGCAGGTCTTCAGGCAGGTCTCCACGCAGGTCTTCAGGAAGGGATTCACAGCGGTGACGATCTTCAGACCAAGAAGCCACTAGATCTAAGGATGATGGTGGAATCATATTCTCCGATACAGAGATCAAATCTTGGATTGCTAATGGATTGGAACTTGCATCACCTTCTAAAGAGGATAATGAAGCACTCATGTATAAGATGTCGAACGACGACTTTGATACGCTCACCCTTCCACCCATCGATCCTGTCTCGGATGTACCGGAGAACCTCAGCACAGCCTTCGGGAAGGCAACTAAGTTCCAGAGCCAAAGCGTCCCGCCATTCAACGCCAAGAAGTTCTCACTTCATTACATGGAACCCTTCATGGAGGCCCCAGAGATAGATGAGAACTACAAAATCATCAATGAAACCCGATCTAGAACTTATAAGATAGAGGATAAGAAGCTGGCACAACTAGATATAACTACCAGACATACCTTCTTTGGTCTCGCCAGATCAAGAGCCATTAATGAAACCTTCATAGCTAAGTTCAGGAACTCGACCTCTGAAGAGGATCGGATGATTTACTCTGCATTGCTGACCGAAAAGAAGGATAATCAGTTTATGTCCGAACATCTGCTGTCTTCCTGCAACTGGAGTGAGCGGTTCACCATGACGTTGTACAGAGCTCCGTGGTCAGCATCGCCCATCTTTGCAGGGGAAATTGATGACGTAGCCAAAGAAGTTACGAAAGAGTCAAGGGAGGTGATGATGATCAAGTCCATCGACACACTAGCCAGTGTTATTCGTCAGACGTCACAACGCTACTCTGGCAAGTCGAAATTCGCGGGGATACAGAGAGCCAGGGAATAGAAGTTTAGCAACTCCAAAGGAGACAGAGACTCTTTTCGTCGCCCAACCGGAGCTCCCAGAGGTAACCCCCGGAAGAGGCCGAGCACCCAGAGGTGCCAGAGGATTTAGACTCTGATGGACGGGTTCGGAACGACTGGAGTCCTCCACTCCCAGCCGTTCCCATACAACCTTCGACACTGGGTGGACGTCTGCAACACAACTGGGAGAATTGGGGAATACTTCAGGACGACTACGTATCCCAGATCCTACGCAGAGGATACAAGATACAACTGCAAGCAGTACCACCGCTTACAAGCAACCCTCTGGCCCATATCTACGCTGCCGACCAGATGGAGAAACTACACGATGCCATCACAACACTACTCGAGAAAAAGGCAGTCGAAGAGATAAAACAGGAGCTCATCACACCCGGTTTTTATTCCCCAATCTTCCTTGTACCAAAGAAACATTCCAAGAAAAAGTTCCGACTCATCTACAACATGAGAAAATTCAACCAAGGTTATCTACACAGACTCGCAAAGTTCAGGATGATACATCTTCCTCAGCTGCGACAACTCGTTTGTCCGTTAGACTACCTTGCCAGCATAGATCTATAGGATGCATATCTTCACATCCCGATTTATCCGGACTCAAGGAAATACCTACGATTCCTCTTCAACGGACATCATTTCCAATGGAAGGTGCTACCATTTGGAATATCGTCGGCCCCCTAGTTGTTTACTCGAGTGACAAAGCCCATCATCACATATCTACATCATCAAGGTCTACGCAGTGCGTTTTACCTGGACGACGGGATGCAAATTCATTAAGGTCCCAGTCAACTCAGACTGCAACTAGACTTCACCATCAGGCTTCTCACTCAACTAGGATGGCTAGTAAATCTCCTCAAGTCGGAACTAGAACCAACATGGGATCTTCAATTCCTAGGAATTCGTTGGTTTCACATTATTTTTCGACTCGCTGTGCGCATGCGCAGAGCGTGTAACAACTATCCAGTGGACAACTTCCAGTTTGGTCGTATGCTTTACCGATAGTGTAAACACACTCTCAAGAAAGGAAACTCAAAACAGATATATGGTTTATGTTGAATGTAACTGATCTCAGTTCATTTATGAATGGAATTTGGAAAGGACCGGGGTTAGTTAAATAAATAGCTTTACGTTTGTTAACAAGCTCTTGTATAAACGCATCTCACCACCACCCGTCCACCGTCCTTCCTGCACATCCCCTTCTCACAACTAAAAAAACACATCTCTGATGCAGTTGCCACCAAAATAGGACATGAATTATTGAAAAGCATAGGCAAATGGATGTATGTACTCAACTATAAACAGTTGTCACACGTAATTAATCTTCATAGAGCTTTTATTTAGAGTGTGTTTACACTATCGGTAATACGACCAAACCGGAAGTTGACAAGTGGATATTTTTACACGCTCTACGCATGCGCACAGCGGGTTGAAAATTAATGTGAAACCAACGAATGCGGCTCATCACGTCGGCGAATCGCATAGTCCTCCCAGAGGAGTGTTGGGTCAAGATACAACACATGATATCTCAAGCAGTACTCTCTCCGTTACCACTACGAAGTTGGCAGAGCCTACTCGGTCTTCTCACATCAGCTCAAGACATGATTCGCAGAAGAAGACTACAACTGCACCCACTACAAGTGTTCATGAACGCCCATCTCGACAGTCTGGACCCCTTCGTGTTACCGGACAGTCTGAAACCGTATCTTCTATGGTGGACTCGGAAGTCAAATGTCTGCGGAGGAACCTATTTATCAGAGCCGGAGTGCAGCACTCATCTCTACGTAGATGCATCGCCTCAAGGATGGGGAGCTCACTTCGACAACGAAGTGGCAGCAGGGAAATGGTCGAGTCAGGAGCAGAGCCTGCACATCAACATGCTCGAGATGAAAGCAGTAATAAACGCCTTACTACACTGGTCCAGCATACTAAGGAACGCACAGCTGATGATCCATACGGACAACTCCACAGTAGCGTTCTACATCAACAAACAAGGATCAACAAGATCAAGAAATCTTCTAGATCTCAGCTTTCATCTGTTCAGCATAATAACCGACCTGAACATCTACATAAAAGCATGCCACATTCCGGGAGCCAAGAATGTGATAGCAGACGCCCTATCTTGTCCAGCACAACCAGCCCCGACGGAATGGATGTTACATCTAGAAGCCTTCCGATGCATCATACAGATGAAAGGATCTTCGCTGATAGACCTGTTCGCTGAAAGACCTGATTCCCGATCCACAAGCATGGGCAACAGATGCTCTAAGCATCTCTTAGGAAGGACTAACGCTTATGCGTTTCCACCTCCAGCTCTAATCGCAGGTGTTGCAGAAAATCAAGCAGATGAAGAAGCTGCAACTGATTTTGGTCGCGCACTATTGGCCGGCGAGGGTGTGGTTTCCCATCCTCGTGCAAGAACTCGGAAGTCCAACCCTGCAACTCCCAGAGTGGCCGAACCTACTCATCCATCCGCACACCAAGCAAGCACACAGGAATCCCACAGTGTTCCAGTTACACGCATGGAGCGTATCAAGACTTGCTTGAAGAAAAGAGGATATTCCGCCAGAGCAGTGAAAGCAGGGACACTAGCTCTACGTAGATCAACCCGCAAATCAGAGATTTGAGGAATACGCTTTGAGGAAGGGCTTCACGGCGATGAAAGCAACGCATCCTCAAGTGGCGGAATACCTATGTTATCAAAGACAAACGAGGCGGTTAAAAGGTTCAACACTCTCTACATACCTAGCGGCCCTCAGCACGATTATCACCATGAAGACGTGTGTTAAGCTGACCAAAGTACCAGAGATACTGACACTACTACGCTCCTTCAAGTTGGAAGACCAACAAAAGAAGTTTAAGGCGCCTGCTTTGGATCTCAACGTAGTCTTGCAGCATCTCACCAGTGATGCTTACGAACCACTAGAAAGGACATCCTATGAGTTTTTAACGCACAAAACTCTGTTCCTGATCGCTTTGGCAACAGCAGCTCCGATGTCGGAGATACTTGCTCTGGGCTTTGAACGAATACGATTTGATGCACATTGTAACATCGTACATCTAGGACTGAGATGGGATTTCATAGCAAAGAACCAGCTGCCCGGTCAACCAGACAGACAGTTCCACATCCCAGCACTCTCTACAGTCCTTGGGCCACAGGATATCCAGGATCTATCCTTATGCCCAGTCAGAGCATTAAAAGTCTACCTACAAAGAACTAACATGATGAGACGAAAATTTAAGCGCCTTTTCATCCCTCTATCCACAGAGACAACCACAGAAGTCAACATTCATTGGGATGAGAGCTGTCATCTTAAGGGCCTACAAAGCAGCAGGACTTGAGCCTCCACGCGCCTCCAACCCTCATGAAGTCAGAGCTCTGGCATCGACACTCGCTCTGCATGGAAACTGCTCCATCTGAACGATAATGGAGGGCTGCTTTTGGAAGTCGGAGACGGTGTTTGTCAACCACTACCTCAGAGAGATTGCTACCGAGGACGTCTCCGGGATTCACCAGCTTGGGCCTCTTGTTGTAGCACAACAATTGACGGTTCCACAAAGGCGCTGAGATGGATCTCACCCTTTTTCACGTGACTTGTAAAAGCCAACGCTCTGGAGAGCTAGAGCTTTAGAGTCCATGCGCACATCTAGGGCAGACCAGCATGAGTGATAGACCCTGTACTTGTAAAGGAGTTACTCGTACATGAAGAAGGGTCGCTTCTCCACTTGATGTGAGCATCAAGACATGGAGTTGCATAAATCCACACATAATGTCAGGAGAAGAGTTCCAGCGAATCTGACAAGTTGTGGTCCCCCCAGACTCATCAGAGGAAGGTGGAAGAAAAGGATCAGCACAAGTGCCATAAGAAGTTCCCACGGGGGTATGCAGGACGTAAATCAGCAACCTATGAATCCAGAAGTGGCCTGACCCACTATCGGTTCTGTCGGATTCTACAAGCTTATAATAATGTAATTTTCTGACTAAAATTGATATTTTATACTTATCCTGACTCATGAGGTCAGCCCTCCCCTCATGGCACTCTGGATTTTCCTATAAATCTGGGTGTCGGGCTCATAAATGGAGAGAGTGACAAGCATGGGCGATCATGTGACTGAATTTGGCGCCAAAACAGCAACCTTGGGTGAGTGATTTTACGTCTGCTTTTTTGAAGGGAGCTTCAAAAAGGGATTCAAGTGTTCCACTATCATTCGCAAGAAGAAGGAGACAAGCAAAAAGCATGAGTCAGGATAAGTATAAAATATCAATTTTAGTCAGAAAATTACATTTTTATAAGGAGCACCATTTGAATTGTCGTTATTGAAGTCTTGGTGTTAGCTTTTTATGTGGTTAACATGACATAAGTCTCATATAAAATCAGTTAACTGCCCTCAGCAGCTTCTCCTATTTTGTTGCATTTCCCTGATATGATGCAGGGTCTATAACTCAAACTTTGTGTGTATTTTAAAATTGAAACATTTATATCTAATGAACAAAAATGATGTCTAATCTTATATAAAATCATAATTAATAAATGTTTCTATGTTTACTGTATGGCTTTTTTTATAATTGTTTCAGGAGGATCAACTTTATAACTTGTTGCGATCTCCGCCTCCGTACCCAGGCTCGGGGTCTGAGGCAGAGTCGGCCTCCAAAGCTCGTCCCTCTGCGTTGTCATCCATACAACCTCTACTGCAGGCACACGGGATGTCAAGTGAAGCCCCTACAAACAAAAAAGGAAAAAAAATCAAGCAGGAGAAAGAAAAGGATCCTCTTGCCCCTAAGAAACCTGTTAATGCTTTCATGCTTTTTCGTCAGCAAAGAAGAGCAGGAATTCAAGAGGAGTATTTTAAGGTGTGTTGTTTCCTCCATATATTTAATGGTTTTTGGTTGTCCCTCATACAATTGAGTGGAATCCAGAATTCCAAAATGTTATACTTAAGAAAGTAGACAATTTATACTTTATAAGTTTGCCAGGTCATGGCAATTTCTATGAACAGACAAAATCATGTGCATGTTTAATAACATTTCAGTAAGTCATGTATAGGTTTTGTTTTGAATTCAAACAAATCAAAATGCATGAGGTAACCCATGTAAAAAGTTTGCATTGTTCTGGAGTCTGTGATTATTTCATATCTCAACATGGCAATTTCCCTTTTCATTTTGGTGAGAACCCAAAATCTGCTTCATCATCCCCTTGTCCTTGGCTACCAATCAGAGTTATCTGACCTTGATATTTCTGGTGTACCCCGCCATGATGTTGCTGAAATATCACTCACTCACTCACGGCAAGAGTGGAACAACATCACAGTCGTCAAGATCAACACCCTCATTCTCTAACTTGGCCAGTTTGCTGGACCCGTTGCCGCAGACGAATAATTATGCTGTAATGCACTCGGAAGTCCCTGGCGGTGTCTCTTACTTGCTGGCCAGCACGTAGTCGTCCGAGGGCTTCATTGAGTTGATTTTCTGGCATTCCAGGTAGGGTGTTATTAACTCAGAAGAAGGTGCTTCCCAAAAATTACATCATATTCTCAGGAAACTGTCATAAAACTTCCACCTTTGTAAAAGCATCAATCTACTCATGTAGCAGGTACATTCAGCCCGAAGATTGTTAGCTCATTTGAAACATCCACAAAGGGCATGAACAGCAAGTGACTTCTCAGACAGAGTAACACATACCATTGTGTGAGGTCTAGGACTGGGACGGGTAGGAAAAAATGGAATCGAGTACCCGCATGTTCTTACCCGAATCGGAATCGAGTACCCGGAAACGTCAAGAATAAAGCGCTTCTGTCAACTTTCTGAATATTCAATCACGATTTGACAGAGATTTTTATAGAAAACATGAAAGGATGGCAATAAGACATTAAAACTGATCTTAAACAATTTAATTTACGTCTGTTTAACTGATACAAAGAGCAACACCATTACTAACTTACATTCCACTATGACTTGACAACTCATTGCTCATGTGCAGATATATTACAGTCGTTAATAATAACCTCCATTAACCGGACAATACCAAAGATGTAATTAAATGTGTGTTACGTCAATGAAAAAAGGCAATTTATTCTGTTGTTGAACTACTGTCAGATGTGATATTCTAACTGAACCTATAATGTTTTACATGGGGACTTTATGTAAACTTACATAGAATGAAATGTGATTAATGTATTTACTGACTGGAAAATTCTATCACGAGATCTACAGACCGGCAATCTGTAATGCAACTGAGTTAAGCAGCATAGCAAAATGCTTAGCTTCATGAGGAAGACTGGTCATTTTGCTCTGTTGCGCCAAGTCATTTGCATTACAGTGTCCATATACATTACAGAGTACACACAAATACAGGGCCGTGAATAACTCATTAACCGTAATTAAAGTTTTATCCTTCCAGAAGGTTACTAAAAGTTGCATTAAAATACTTGTGTTTGAATGTAGCGACAAAGAATATGCATTTAAATGCTATATTTGTACGTTAAGATAAACAAAAACAGCACAAAACTATTGTTATTTAAATATTCTAAATTTGTATAAAAGTGAACATTGAGTTCTTCATTGGAAGTTGTGCTTCTATATATTTCTGATTATCTTTCTTCTTATTGTCATGATAATCAGCCAAACATTGAATTTGCAAATCAGAATGTGCTCTTTCAATAAACGTTCGTTTTATTATGTTAATTTATTAGTTTTAATTGATAATCCCAACACATACAATCATTGAATTACAATCTCTGTTATGGTGAATGTATTCAGCTTTGACGCCATGAAGTAAAATATGTGTCTCATGAAATTGAAATGAAATATAAACTAAAGACAACATTCAATGTAGTCTTAACAGCTTTTTATGAACTAACTTAATAAGCAATTGGAGTTACACAATGTAATGAACACCTTCGTGTTTTACGTTGTGTTTTAGAGCAAGATGTTTGTGCATTAAACTTGTACTGTTTCTGCAATAAATAGCATGGTACACGCAGTCGCCAATTGGTTCTGTCATTTGCATCAAGCTCAAAATGAGCCCAAACACTCAACTTAGCACTTTTGCTCTAGGTCAGAGTTCTCTCCCTTTCCGGGTACTCGATTCCTTGAAATAGGACTCGATTCCAGCTGTACCCGACCCGGATTCGAGTACCCGAGTACCCGTCCCAGCCCTAGTGAGGTCACAGGAATTCCGCCAGAATGCTTGATGACACCACTGCCTAGTGCAAAACAAAGAGGTTGGACACAGTTAATCATCAGTTCATTTCGAACTACTTCGTATTTCTACAGAACCAGAATGCTGCAGGGTGGTACCATAGGGAATGATGTTGCTGCCTTCAGTAAATCCAATCCCCATGGATGGAAAATGTAAAGTGACAAGATTGCAGTGGAAGTGGCTTTTCCTTGTGCTTGAGTCTTGGACCAAAGCCTGAGCTCAATGAGAACATCATAGCATTCTGTCTCCAGGTGACAATCCAACAAGCATATCAACAGGCAGTATTGAATCTTTCTTGTGCATAATCAACAGAGATTCAGGGTCCTGACATCAACAAAACAAAGGTCTGTGCCAGCTGATCAGAGGGAGATAACTGTCCTCAATTGTTTCCCTACCCACTTGTCTCTAAGACCCCCGACCTAAGACCCAAACCTGCCCCATTGCCCTTTAGTATCACCATACACTTCCAAAGCCCTGTTGGGGCGGTGCGGTAGCCTGATGGTTGAAGCATTCGCTCGTCACGCCGAAGACCCGGGTTTAATTTCCCTGCGTTGGTACAATGTGTGAAGCCCATTTCTGGTGTCCTCTGCTGTCAAGTATCAGAACCTGCACATCTACACAACCATGAAGCTTATCTTTGAAACAGTTGCTTGTTGAGCATAGCATGATCCCAGACAGAAACCAGCACTGGTTAGCTGTTGCACAATGTGCAGCCTTTGTCTTCAACTCTTGGGTAACCATTGTGCAATACTTTGTTGCAGGATAAGAAAATATTATATATATATATTATATATACCTGGATATGCAGAAACTGTAATGTACTTGTACTTATTGTGACACAAGTCTCAGGCCTGCCTGTCTGTCTCTGGCAGATAACTCTGGTAATCTATGGCAATTGGCACCAAGCTGTAAAAGAAGCATGTTATGGTTCTTTAGCTAAATGATCAAACTGAAAAAGGAATAGGTTTGTTATGATGAAACATTGATGTCATGCATATCCACATTCACGTGATGTATTTTCAGGAACACAGAGATGCTATTTCAGCTCATGAGTTGACAAGGAGACTGGCCTTGGAATGGGAGAACATGGCAGCAGAGCAGAAAAAGGTCAGTCAGCTGGGGTTGCACCAAAACTATTTCTTGAAAACAGCACGTTACGCATGTGTTGGTAATTGGGTCCTCTATATTTTGTTGAGGTGATGTGTGAAACTGATGTTTCTTTCAGAATTTTTATCCAAGTTCATAGCCAAACCATGGCCGCTGTATTGAATATGTCATCTTTGTTTATTTCTTGTAGCCATTTTTGCATTTAATGTTTTGCAAAGTCTGTTATATTTTGTTAGTAGTTTATAAAAAACATGCTGATATTGCAAAATAGAAAACTAAGGGGAAAAAGTTGGATGATTACCCTCCATTGAAACATTATGTTGTAAACCAAGTACCGGTAGATTCTTATGTTGGTCTCTAATGTTTCCCTTGAACTTGAGTCTTAGAGAGCATGCACAACATTCCCAGGGATCCAGTCTGCAGGGAGCACCTGGCCTGCATGGAACTTGTGCTTTATGATAATGACATACAAAGATTGAGTGAGTGAGTGAGTTTAGTTTTACGCTGCACTCAGCAATAGTTCAGCTATATGGTGGCGGTATGTAAATAATCGAGGCTGCTTCTATTGCATTCTGCATTCAAGCCTTATGTCAAACTTGCTGTCAATTTCAAAGTTGCAGATCAGCAGTCAACAACATATTATTATAATTCAATGGATGCAAGTTCAGGGTTAGTTATCTATCTACTGCCGGCAGAGAGGAAGTTCAGTAAATACTGCTTGGTACATTATGTCCTCTAATGTGTGACTTTATCAAATTTTGACACGAATTTGGGAGTAAACAGCTTTATTGTCAGATATTCCACTGATAGAGTAAATAGAACTAATGAGAGCAGCAAATGGCGGTACCATGTTGGTGTTGCAGGTCTACCAGGACATGTATGAGCAGAGCATGCAGCAGTATGAGATCGAGCTGCAGGAATACTCAATGGGCCAGTACGGGGAGACTACAGATCCAAGGAGACCCACCAGCCCCCTGTCAGATGCAGCCATGACGGCACTTGAACTGGCATCCAGATACGGTGCTACTCTCAATGTCAAACAGGAAGTAGACGATTGAACACATCACCTTCAATCACTATTGGTTGGTGACAAGATCGTGACAAGATGTGAAACATTGAGACAGTCAGAGCAACAATCAAGACAGTCAGATGAGAGCATTATGCAATATGTAGTGAGTGACTAACAAGCATTTTGACTGCTTCAGTCTGTGTACTTGACCAAGGGACATTCTTGTATGGATATATTTTGATGTGTTGTCCTTGTATATGGCTGCGGTGGACAATGTATTGTTTTCAGTGGCTTTAATAATTGTTTGAAACAATGGACCAACTAATACAAACAAACTGTGTGTTTGACGGCTTAGCTTCACTTACAACAGTTATGAGTATGTCAATGTGTTGTCATGGTAACCTTGTACATTTTTCCACCCATACTTGTAAGTTATAGCTGTTGGTCATGACTTGAGCAACAAAGTGTGGTGTTTCTCATCATGATGCATGGCAGTCAGTATTAAACCCCCAAATATTTTATTTTTCAATTTTGTGACATGCAAATGAACATGTCCTTGTACAGAAGATGTATTTTTGCTTTTGAAGGTCATCCTAAGTTTCATTTCTTCCTTGTGAATTTCCCTGATCTACTGAAAGACGTTTACAGTTTTTGTTATTTAGTTGCTTGTCACTGTTATAAGCCGGTAATGAGGATGAGTGACAGCTTGACGTGTAACACGTCTCCACTCGTTACTGTCTCTACCATGCTGTATCAAGGGTTCTCTGTGAGGACCTGTTGTTGCCAGTATATAGCAAGCGGGCTGTATAGTGCAGAAAATAGCTGCTGGACTGAAGGAGGATTAGACTCAATCATGGCAAATGATTTAAGGAATATAATGTGTGTGGCTTCAGCAATATAGGATATTTAACATTAGTAATCACATAAACAGATGAAATGTTGATGCATCTATGCAGTTATGAAAGCCTTATTGTTATGTTTTGTGTAACCTCTGCATGAGAATGACAGATCAAGTTTCAGGAATCTTCACTTCACATTCACGTTTATGTCACTTATTGAAAGATTGACTTCCATCTTGTTTATTCTTACAATATGACTTGCGTGAAGCACTAATATCAGTGCCAAACATCAAACTGTAAAAATAACAACGTTGATCATGCTTTTATAAATACAGTACTCCAGTTTCTGAGTTCTGTAAGACAGTTATTGTTTCATTGAAAGATTGTGTGCAAAAGTGATGTTTTAAAAACAATTTCCTGAGGTGTTTTTTGCCCTGAATTACAACTGGCAATGTTCAGTACTGGTTGTGTGTGTAGCTGCTGCAGACATCATTTAAGTAGCGCTGTAAACTCATTTGGCACCAACCTTTGTGCTTTTCTTATTTTATGAGATATTTTCATTCATTTTCCTTGTGCCATGATACTTAAACTATTATGACTGTTTGGTGGTGTGATAGCTTGTTAGATAAAGTGTGAAAAATGTGGTAAAAATGCTAAAGTGATGGATGCAAATAAACTATGAAATCTATTTTCTGTTTTATTTTTTCTTCCTGATCACATTGTTTCATTTATGGTCATCGTCTACAAACCTCACACATCTCCAAATTTGATATTTGTTGTTACAAATCCCTTCTTACAAATGGGATTACAAATTCTTACCTTGCCTTACATATCATGAAACCAAAGTTAGAATGCATGAAATGTCTATATGAGATAGCTTTAAATTATGTCCATAAGAAGCATACTTATATGATTTTACATGCTGATTTCACATGTGACTGGCTACCATAGTTTCAAATGTCATTTTGATCAACTGCTTAACCATTTGCTGATGTAGATACACATAACTGGATGACGGAAAGTAAAGTGTATCACTGAGGTTGGAATAGACATCTCCAACCATCACATCTTCGACTTCAATACATAAAGTCCAAATGCACTTGTGACGTTCTATTATTACATACAGACTATCTTTTAATCTTACTCTAAAAGTCACTGTTGAAACTTCTGCATTGAGGTTACTATGACCAGAGCATCATTCTGCACAAGGGACATATCACAAATCTATGCATGAGATAGCTTTCGTCAGCCTGATGTCATCAGTCAAGTGGCAGGTTCTGATCATGAAAGAAACAAAACAGAATAATATTTGACATAACATAATATTTTAAAAATTTAGTGCAGTTCAAGGACAAGTGCATTGTGGAAATCAGAGTTCAATACAGAATTTGTCCAAGTTCTCCGTATTGCACTGCTGTATTAGTGCAGTAAGAATATATGGCTAATAAAGTGTGTGTGCTCCACAGGTTTAAATATAGACATGTCGTAAAATAGAATTATCAAGGTTTGATAAGATCTGTGTGGTTAAGATGTGATAAGAATGTGACTTGAGTCAATTAACAAAATCTGCTTGAAACCCTTTATGATTTTTTGACACCTTGTGTTCGTCTTAATGTTATTATTAAGGCGTACAATGCCCAACACCAAGACACTTATTTCTTGTTTGGTTTGTGTATAAAAACAGTCTACTGGAACACACTTGACTTTTCTTCAGTACTTGTCACATTACATCAGTACTGTACATTCAGGTCCAGTTGTCTAAGGTTTTACTATTCACTGGATAGTTTCAACCCATATGCAAGTCAAAAACCTGTGATTGTGGGTTCAATTCTATATCACCCGATTATATTCCAGGTTTGTCAGCCGTATAACTGTGTACATGGTTTTCGTTAAAGTGGTAAACAGCTGAGACTTGCATCACTTGAGACTTCCATCCCATGCCCTGCTGACTCGGCTTGATATAACTGGAATACTGTTCAAAACAGCATAATACCCAAGGCACACGTGCATCGTACACTTTTCATTCAGTAAATCAATGTTCAGGAATTTTGATACTTTGTCTGCTTGAAGGGGATCAGAGATATGTGTTTTGATGTGTAATTAATAAATACAGCTGTTAAATATATTTCCTCAAATCTGCCATTTGTTTTTCTCAATTACTTGCTTATGAAGCAAATGTTTCAGCACATCCTCCATTGTTCAGTATAACATCTCCACAAATAACAAAAAAACAACACAATTGAAAATATGGCAATATATTTACACAAAGCCAAAGTTGGGAATAACACATAATGGGTAATGTTCATGTATTTAGTATATGTTGAATGTGTTGTGTTTTCCCCAAAAAGTGACAATTTAACATTCAGTCAACTTTGAGCCATAACTTAATACCAACTGTGTAAGGACTACCAGTAGGCTACATAGGTATATATACAAAATAATGGAGGTACATATATTATACTGACAATCTAAATCAAACTTTAGGTCTGGTATTCCATAAAACTAGACATCGGTCTTGCAGGAATACCACAAACAATTTCTACCACTTGCCAAAATTTGTGAATTTTGAAACTCCATGATTCAGTTCCAGAGTGGATACTTAAGATACTCTTTCATGCCATCAACCAGACACAAAAAGGGAAATGACAAAACATTATTTTTACTCAAGGTGAAACATTCTACAAAGCTTGATTTAGTCAGCGATGTAGATTACTCGATGTTTCTCAAACATTTCAATGTCTCTTTCAAGCTGTTTCATCTGAGCTTCCATTCGTTCCTTGCGGTTCTTCTTAGGTGCTGTGTCCGTGACAACAGAGAGGCCCTGGTATTGGTCGTGAATGTTCTCCCAGTTTGCTTTCAGCCCATCAATGATTGCATCCCGTTCTTCTGCTGTTAGAGATCGCATTGCTCCGCGACGGAAGTGCTCTGCAACATACCGATCATATTCTTCCTGTGCACGATCCATCTCAACCTTGCGGCGCTGGAGATAGGTTGGAACCTCACCATATTCCTGAAAACATCCACAAGATAAATTGCCTCAGCTTGTTTCAGAATGGTACAAGAGGAAAGCTGATTGAAAGCTAACTTATCGTGGTAATATCACAAATCCAACAAGGATTTCCTGAGAGGTGATATCAAATTTTCAGTGGTATCAGTCATTAAGTTAACATACATACAGAACCAATTTTATTTAAAAGTGAAACCAAAGCAGTACACCTATGACAAAACAGATTACGTCTACTGTAAGGTATGGACAGTTTCAATTTCAGTTGATACCCTGAAAACACTCACCTTTTTGTGAATGAAATGTGGTTCCAGGCCAGATGGCTCCAGTGTGTGTGTGTCCCCAATACGAGTATCAGCAAACTTCTTCTCTGGCTTCTTCGGAACAGAGGTTATGTTCTCCACTGCATTGATAGTGAGGAAATTCTTGGTTGTCTTTAAGCCCATGAGTGGCTTGTCATCTTTCTTTGGCACTGGTGGCTTCTTGCGGTCCTCATCTGGGTAGTTGTATTCTTGTTCTGATAAGATTATGAAGTGTAAGAATATCAGAATGTTTCTCTTGCATGATCAATATCAAAGCCAGTGAATTATTCACCGGCATGTCTGCACCAGAGAAGTGGTTGAAATATACCATTCCACACTAACACAACTATGCCACAGAACTACCTCTTTGGTGTATTAACAGGTAATCATTTTTTAACTTGTCATGCACTAATGACATATTATGCCACATAGTTCTTTTCATACTTCCTCAAAAGTCACACACTGAAAGTAGTTTAAGTTAACATGCCTATGAAAAACATTTACAGAATGCAAACATGTCAATGAGTGAAAGAGACATCTCACATCTAAAAATAGAATAATGCTTTTTTGATTGTCTGACATACTTGGAAGTAGAAATTATTTCCCTGGTAACTACAGACATTCTTATAAATATCAGTTAAGTTTAAGTAGTTAAGCATTTGCAGAACAATGAAACAAAGAAGCTCACTTGTTGGTAGCTTTGGTTCCTTTTCCCTTTTCTTCAGGAAGTTATCTGTTGTAGGCACTGGTACTTTTGCCTGACCCATAGTTTTGTGGTCTGCTTTGTTGTACTTAAACTCATCCCGCACCGACGACTTGAATTTTGATGCATGCCTAGAAAAGTAAATGATGTTTTATGAATCCTGCAACATGTACCGGTACATCCTAACAGGGATAATCTACTACAGGGATAGGTCACTCGCTTGCTTTCTTTACCATTTGTACTAATTAGCGTGTGCCTCGTCATGCTCCAACGCACACAGTGACTTGGTTCGTTCCCAGAGCAACTTAGTAATTAATTCAGATATCTTATTGCATGTGTGGAATGGCATGGACATTGACAGAATGTTACTATCACAGAGCGTTGTAAACACCTTTCCAGTTTTGTCAAATACTAAGATCAACAAGAAAGAAAGAAGTTTTAGAACTAAAACACTCAAGCATCACAAGCATCAATGGCGGATCAGAACAGATCGTCGATATGTCATATTTTTCACACACCTCAAATACACCCTAACAAAAAATATTTTTTTTATAAAACTATCACTATTACTTGCAAACACCTTTCACCTGATGGTATATTCCCCTCATAAAAATTAAAGGTGTATGTGAAAGATGTTTTAGAACAATAACTAGAAACACTCAAACAACGCCCAGTAGTATTTCAATGGCAGATCGGCGATATGTCATATTTTTCACACACCTCAAATACACCCTAACAAAATTTTTTAGTTATAAAACTATCACTATTACTTGCAAACACCTTTCAACCAAAGGTATTTTTCCCTTCTAAAAATTAAACAAATATGTGAAAGAAGATTTTAGCGATAGAATTTAGTCTTTCTTCGCTGTGTACCGAGAATTGAAGCCATTGAGCTACAACATGCCGACTTGAAACTTTACTACAAATCTACTGTACTAATACTGACACTAATAACAATTATTTGACTTAAAATGAAGTGACAGAATAGGTAGGTTTTCAGTTGTCACAACACTCAGCGAATGTAATCAGCTGTTGAAAATAAACCGGGCTCAATCTTAAAAACTACGCTGTTGCCATATTGGCTACACTGGTCACGTGATGACCCGAGGCATACGCTAAGGGGCTTTTCGAGGAGTGACCACTCCCCGTTATATAGTCTCCCTGATCCTAAATAGTTGGTAGCTGCTAATCCTACCCTAAAGTAAAAAGAGGTGAAATTGAGTTTAATGTCATGCTTGAGAATATTTCACTCACAGGACGACGTGCATGCGTGTGTATGTGTATGTGTATGTGCGGCTGCTTGTACTAGCCCAGACTGAAGCTGGTTTTATAGTGCTAGCCCACTGAGATACCATGTCGCAGTAAAGCATGAATACCCCCCTCAGACACATTATACTGACTCCGAGCCGACCAGTCCTTGATGTACCCATTAATGCCGAGCGCCAGGCAATGACCAACGAAAGTACCAAATTATTTTAACGTCTTTTGGTATGAGGCGGTCGGGGATCGAACCCGCGACCTTCCGCTCCCCGGGCGGACGCTCTAACCACTACACCACGGAGGCGGTCCTACCCATAAGTCAAATAACAATAATGAATTCATTTCTGAGACCATGAAATCAAAAAGAAATTACAAAAGTATTTTAGGAAAATATTTCAAAATAAAATAACTTTTTTTAACATGATTTATTGTATTTTATCAAAAGTAGGTCCCTTCCCAATGTGATTCCATGAAAATAGATATGTTACGCAATATTTTATATCAAAACATGCTTTTTCAAAACGTACTGTTTCGTATTAAAGAATCTTCCTGTGCCACAATGTCGTGTCAAAGTGCACGACAGGAGAGTGTATCGTTTGTTCAAGGGATGAAAAAAATTCAAGAAATATCGATTACTTAAAGCTTTGCATTGTGAATATATTCCAGAAGAAATAATGGTGCCATATTCGTTGTATGTTACCTTAACTATCACCGTAAAATCCTTAGTAACAGCACATATCTGAATCATATTTTAATTTCATTGCATATCAGCTGCAACCTATGTATGGACTTTCATAAAATCATAGATAAGACATCAGTCTTACACATAATAACGAGCAACACGTTACAGGGTAAACTCTGCCCAGTTGACACCTCTGTTGTCTGAGCTAAATATCTCAAGACACAAAAACAGCGATGGAGCCTTCCTCCTTACCTTGGATCTTTTGGTGGCTTGACCTCCTCCTGAGGAATGAGGTTGTAAATGGTCCCTTCTTCAGCTTGATACATCTTGTGCAACTACTCTCCGAACGTTGTTGATACTGGACTAAATATCTAGGCAAGAAATGTTTTAACCCCAACGGAACCCAACAACAGATGTAACTAAGGAAATCACGTGACGTCATCAAAGGGAGATAAAACTAGCTGCCCTCTGAGTTGATAACCGCTAAGCATGTTTACTGGCTCGGTTGTTCGTGAGTTCACTTGCTTATTCAGATGGACAAAAGTCCACCCATGGGCTAAGTCGTATAAATCCCAAGGCTAGATTGCTAATCCAAATTAACTGCTAGGATCTAAATGCCCTATCCCTTAACTCCCAACAACTCCAACCTGACAAATGTACACATATCTCGAGTAATAGTAATAACTTCCCATACTCCCCCACCCCATCCTTTATGGGAATAATTTTGGGTGCACACTTGAAATCAAATATGTTTTTTTATATATCATTTTATTAAAATGCTTATTTTTTTGTAAAAAGGCATACAGAAACAAAGCATACCATATCAACAGTCAACATTTGGAGATTGTTGAGCACACAAAAACTGAATAAATAATTCTCCCAACTATTTCACGTGTATAAACCTCACCGCACGCAACCACTAAGGCACGAACGGACACACACATACTAACCGATGACTTACGGGAGCCGTGGAGGGGCTCGCTATATACGTGTCAGCTCGCAGACAATTAAATCTGTGATGTTGAATGGTACATTGTCTGGTAACTTTGAACTGAAAGCTGGTGTGCTACAGGGATCGGGGCCAGACCCTTTCCTGTTCCTTGTTTACATCTATAATGTAACTGTTAAACTGAACGGTTCCACAGGACTATGCACCGACGAAACGTCCCTATGCATATCATCTCATAACTTTGTATACAAAGAAACAACTATTGATAGAAATTAAACAAAATTATAGAATGTGCTTAATGGCTTATGCTTTATAATCCCAACAAAATATATTCTTGTTTAAACAAAACTGTCACGCTCTTTTATTTTTAGAAAAACACTGACACATTAAAACGCACTAATACCTGGATGTTATGTTCTAGGGGCAAGTAGTCATTTCATATTGATTACAATAGTCATATCAAAGATAATTCACTGTGAGAAGGTTAACATTTATGCACCGTCATGGGTTGTTCAACAAATTTTATGTATTGTGTAATAGATCACATCTTAAACAAAGAATGAGGGATTAGTAAGAATTGTAACTGGTTTTTACCGAAGCGACTTCTGTTGGGCCCTTTTTCTCGAGACATCCGGTGAGTTTTATCATTTTAAGAAAACGGGGAAAGTTCTATATATAATAGACTTCTTGGTAACGGTGTTGGCAGCTACACCGAAACGTCGCTTACGTTAATATAAAGAAGATGTATATCCATAGAACGTTCCCCGTTGTTCATCACAACAACTTCTAAATGCCACTCAAAGAAGTTTATAATGTTTCAGCGAATGCTCGTTTTCTATATCAACTAAAACGAGTTGATTCATTCACTCTTGTCAATTATGAAACAAAATTTTGATGTAAATATTGACTTGATGTATGCATTTATTGAGAATGAAATATATACTTGTAACAGACACGGGCACACGTTCGAGATCAACAATAACATATATATTGTCGAACATAGATATTTTTCTGGGTTACATCTTCTTTTTATTCTAAAGAATAAAAAGAAGATGTTATATAAGAATAAAAGAAAGAAAAATAAGAATAAAAAGAAGATGTAATCCAGAAAAATCTCTATGTTCATCAAATAGCATCTTTTAAAATGCCAATCAGGCAAATAAGTTTTGTCCTTCACATTTTGTTTAATTTCTCATTTAGAATTTGATGTAACTGATATAAAAAGAAACTACCTAACAACAAGAAGGTATATTCACATCCAAGCATATACTTATGAATGTACTTTGCATCTCACTCCTTGAGTACGGAAGCGCTGAAGGGACCTGATGAAATATAATTTATCTTGAGCGCACAAGTTAGTATATTGAGCGCACAAGTTAGTATATTGAGCGCACAAGTTAGTATCTTGAGCGCACAAGTTAATATCTTGAGCGCACAAGTTAGTTATCTTGAGTGCACAAGTTAATATATTGAGCGCACAAGTTAGTATCTTGAGCCCACAAGTTAGTATCTTGAGCGCTCACGTTAGTATGTTGAGCGCTCACGTTAGTATGTTGAGCGCTCAACTTGGTATTTTGAGATACACTGCTCCATAAGCAGTTCATGTGGAAGCAAGGAGGAGCGGGGACGCGAGCTGATTCATGCTTATTTCAGTCTTGGGTTCCAACACAAACACATAACACATCTTCTTGTCAAAAATCATGGTATAGTATAGTACGCCATTCGAAGCATATTCTGTGGTGTATGTCCCTCTTTCGCACCAGATACTAGATTTGCTGATGTTACAGTGAGTGAGTGAGTACGGTAACACCGCTTTTAGCATTATTCCAGCAATATCACGGTGGGGAACACGAGAAATGGGCTGCACACATTGTACCCATGTGGGGAATCGAACCCAGGCGTGGCGAGCGGACGCTTTAACCACGAGGCTACCCCACCGCCCCGCTGATGTTACATACTTTATTGCGGACAACTTCGACGATCTGCACAAAGACATGGTTATCGTTGATGCATCAAAAATGTATCCAATGCGGTTTAATCGTGAAACAGGATACTGTACGGTCGTTGTTGGACCCGGATGGTGTTGAATTTCGCTCAGGACACTGTCTTCATCGACGTGTTTATTCTTCAACTTCCTGTGTTGTTAAAACACACATACGTATACATAAGAGATTGACACGGAAGAAGTGAAACGGGGAACACGGTATTATAGTAAGAAATAAAGTCGGTATATATGCTATACGTGCACATACTAATGGATCAAATAAATCAGGCGGGTTTTATATGCTATTGTACAGAGTTAAACTGCCATTGTACCCACGTTAGGAAACATTACTGATACATGCAAACCAAGACTACAGACTATAGTTCCCTGAAAGTGGTCGACTTTACTTCCAATACATCAGACATTAGCTTTAGAATTAAGATAATTAAGTATAACACTCAATGTTTAAATTTTTCATGGTCATGTAATACTATATATACATAATAAAGCCGTAGCACAAAACAAGTTATCCAAGCTTTAAGCTAGTGTTCATAATACTATGTACCAATATAAGAAGTAAGCAAAACCACTATTCATCCCTGCAATAAACTTCTACTCATGTTTATGTTTTAATTCTTATTATGACATTACACATACCTAGGCCTGCTTTATGTAATAAAGCAAAAAGTGGTAAAATCAGATACAAAGAATAGTATTGACAAGCATAAAGACGATGAACGTTTACATGATAAACATTATCAATGTTCATGATACATATGCATACTTTTACATAGCCTCATCATAAACACCTATAAACACCTATGTAGTTAACTTTGCATCGTTTTAAATCTTCCAAAAAGGATGTAAGTTTGTACATTTTAGCCAGCAGTCAAGCAAATGTGCGTTCCATTAATGCCATTAGATGCTAAACACGAAGTTGAGCGTTCATGATATTAACTTGTGCGCACAAGAGACTAACTTGTGCGCTCAAGAGACTAACTTGTGCGCTCAAGATACTAACTTGTGCGCTCAAGATAACTAACTTGTGCGCTCAAGATAATTTTTATTTCATGAGGTCCCTTCAGCGCTTCCGTAGAAAGAAAGCTAAATTTAAAATTCCCAAAGCTATTAATTGTGGTATTCATACTTTAGGAAGTTGTAAGAATTACCTCCCTTGAGATAGTTTCCCTAGTCGTACACGGAAGTTTCTGTTTTGATAGCCAAACGGTGGTAAGTCAAATAATCATAAGCTAATTGATTGACATTTGTTGTCACTTTGTAATGACGTTATTTTTACAGCATGGAGTAATCAAGAAAGTTATCAACAGCAATGAAAATTCCATCCGGAACTCGGTTGTCATTCTCATTGATATTGTCAGTAAATGAGTAATGATTTTGATTATAATCAACTATGCCCGTTAGATCTACAATCTGTTTTGAATTACATTTTATTACCCTTTATCATGTTTATAAGAACATTGTTCATTACACCACACTTCATCTTGACTTCTCATATGCATGGGTCATGTAAACAAATCCTCCCTGATGTGTTGTATTGTTATTAAAGTTGAATATAGGGCCAAAAATAACATCTTACTAATCTATATCACAGTGATATATATGTAACACTATCAGCAACGTGTACACCCATGTGTGTGTTGTTTGAGGGTCATGTATTGATAACACTGATACATGTGTTGTATCAGGGTTATAACATGTATACAATTAGGAATGTGTACAATTTGTGGTTGTTTGTGGTTTAACGCCACACTCAGCAATTTTCTAGCTATATGGTGGTTTGTTATTAATTGAGTCTGGACCAGACAGTCTAGTGATTGACACATGATAGAATAACATGTGTCAACCAAGTTGGAGAGTCTGACCACCCAATCCCGTCGTTCATGGGTTGCACATCCTTGTGTGTTTTGCCAGAGGTATATAGGTGTAAAACTGTTAGGAATAGGTACATCCTTGTGTGTTTTGCCAGAGGTGTATAGGTGTAAAACTATTAGGAATAGGTACATCCTTGTGTGTTTTGCCAGAAGTATATAGGTGTAAAACTATTAGGAATAGTTACATCCTTGTGTGTTTTGCCAGAGGTATATAGGTGTAAAACTGTTAGGAATAGGTACCGTGAGTTTGTTCCTATACATTAGAGTCTTTGAGGGGCATTTAGAAGTGATACATTTAGAAGTGATACATTTAGAAGTGATACACATAAAGACAAGAGTTTTATGGATGTCAACTTCTTTATTGTGAGGGTCACGACGTGTCGAAGTATGTTCTTACTCCTTCATCAGGTGAATGAAACAATTAGGAACAGACAGCTGTATATGTACATGTTAAAACAACAACAGTTATGAGATAAGGGTAACCAGCAGTTAATGGTAGATGGACAAGTGGAAGCCAGGGATTGTTAATCCAGGCATGATTAAGGTAACAAAGGTTGCAATTTAACAAGGGATAAGAAAAACAAATAGAAGCCAGGGGGGTATACATTCCCTTGTAGAGGAAATTTCTTCAATCTATTGGCATGAATAATTTCAGTTGGAAACTCTTTTCCTGTCAAGTGACTCTACCATTGGTGCAATCAATCAATCAATCAATCAATCAATCAATCTTTATTCATACTGAAGGCCACAGGCCCATAGTCTACAAGAACATAGTACACAATATCACAGAAAAGAATAAAAATAGTCAAAGAGACAATGCTTGATAGATAAAGGTTGACAACTTACGGATAAGAACATTGTCATCAGTACTCATTAACAAAGAAAATTTCACCCTATCGGGATATACAGAATAATATCTTGGGACATTTTTGTTTTCTTAACTCACAATATAATGGGCAAATTAAGAGGAAGTGATATTCATCTTCTACACAATTAAGATCACAAAATGTACAAATTCTATTTTCCCTCTCTATTTTATGATATCTCCCTGTTTCGATTGCCAAGTCATGTGAGGAACACCTAAACCGAGCAAAAGCCTTTCGAAATTTCTTGATATTTAGTGACAGCAGATAATTCCCTCTGTATATATGGGATTTAAACATTCTATAATAGAAACATTTACTTGACAATGACAGTGCTCCTACCCATTCTTGTGTATATATATCTTTGAGCCTTTGAGTAACATTATTCACAAAATTTGTATGAAAGTCAACATTTTGCCTTTGCCATACCTCCCCAAAACCTATTGTATTTAACAATCCTTGAATGTTAGTCACCCAGTTAGTCTTCCCGTTGTTATCGTACATTAACATATCATATCATAACACTGTCTAGGGTATCTATCAGATGGCATATATAACAGACGTATCCAATATTCTATTATTCTAGCTTTAGCAAAAAAAGGGGTATGGGAAATCTTCCACAATCTCCATATACTGTATAATTGTAGAAATGCTTACATGTTCTACACATATTATTTTACCATTTCTTAGAAAACTTTTTAATACATTGTTTCAAAAAGGTGTTTTCCCTGAAAACTGGACTAAAGCAATTATAATCCCTATACATAAAAAGGGTGACCGAAGTAATCCCGATAATTACAGAGGGATTTCCCTTTTAAGTGTACTCAGCAAAATATATACACGGATTCTTCATACCAGACTTACAACTTGGGCAACGATAAGAGATAAAATACCTGAATTTTAAACCGGTTTTAGAAAAGAGTATTCTACAGCTGATCACGTTTTCACCTTAAATGCAATAATTCAGAAATGCTTATCAAGAAAAAAGAAGAAATTATATGTTGCCTTCGTAGATTTTAAGAAAGCTTTTGATTCCGTCTCATGATATAAACTTTGGTACTGTCTTCAAAACTCTGGATTAAATGGCAAAATGTTGGCTGCAATAAAAAGTATATATGTATCTGTTACAGCATGTGTAAGATGCAATGATAATGTTTATACAGATTATTTTGATTGCCCAGTCGGTCTAAGACAAGGGTGTATTTTAAGTCAGCTTCTTTTTTCATTTTTTATTGGTGAACTGTGTACTGATATTGTAGAAAGTGGTAAATTTGGTGTACAGCTGTTTCCTGATTTTTTAGAGATATTGCTATTACTTTTTGCTGATGACGTCATTCTCATATCTGACGTTGCTTCGGGACTACAAAAACAATTGAATATCTTAGAATCATATTCTGATAAATGGGGACTTGACGTTAACCTCGATAAAACCAATATTGTTGTTTTTAGAAGGGGTGGGCGATTATCAGCTAAAGAAATATGGTATTATAAAGACTCTGTTATTGACGTTGTGAATTCATATAGATATCTTGGTATTATATTTTCATCCACGTTTAAAATGAATAAATGTACAGACGATCTAGCACTGAGAGGAAAAAGAGCATTGTTACAAATACTATATAACTTACGAAAGATTGATGTGGTTGATCCTAGGGTATTCTTTAAAATATTTGATTCACAAATTCAACCAATTTTACTTTATGGTGCGGAAGTATGGGGGATTAGCCGCTATGAGAATATTGAAAAAGTTCATTTGCTTGCATGTAAGAGATTTCTAAATGTAGGATTGCAAATGCCTAATGTTATAATATATGGTGAATGTGGGACTTATATCCTTTGTATATTAATGCCTTATGTCGAGTTATTAAATATTGGCTAAAGCTTACAGAAATGCACTCTGGTAGAATACCCAAAAATCATATGACATGTCAGTATATTTAGATAACATTGGGCAAAATAATTATGCTTCTCATATTCGTAATATACTTTTTTCACATGGATTTGGCTTTGTATAGTTAGCACAAAGTGTAGGCAATAAGGTTGATTTTCTTAGATGTTTTAAAGATGTATGTGTAAATATGTTCTACCAATCTTGGCATTGTACTCCCGACAACAGTTCACGCTATAATTTGTATAGAGAATGTAAGTGTTTACTAGAACCGAAAAATATTTAAGTGTTATACATGAAAACAAATATCGTAATATTCTTATAAAATTCCGAGCAGGCCTATTACGATTAAAAATAAATGAAGGAAGATGGTTAAATATTGATGTATCTCTACGCACATGTCCTGTCTGTAAACTCGGTATAAAGGATGAATTCCGTTTTCTTTTTGTATGCAAATATTATTCTGAAGAAAGATTCTATTATTTTCCACATATTAACAACTGCATTCCAAATATATTTATATTCAAAAGCCTGCTAACTTCTCCTTCAAATGAAGCATTATTAAATCTATGCAAATTCATATATACTGCTTATAAAAAGAGACAGACTTTGTTAAACTCTTAATTGTTTTACATCATGTTTCCAATATATTTTGATTGTACATATGTTGTATGTATATGGGCTGACTTTTCTAGTTTTCTCAAAATTAACAGTTAATCCTGCCTCATTGCAATAATGTTCCAACTCATGTATATGCCTTTGTAATCCAACAACAGTAGTCGCAAACAGAATCATATCATCGGCAAACAACAATAAAAACAATTGTGTCAAATAGGGATGTAACTGGATACCATGAGTAGCATTTTGTTGTATTATCGAAGCAAATTCATTAATGAACATTGAGAACAGGAATGGACTCAGAATACAGCCTTGTCTAAGCCCAACATTGCAATTGAAGGTATCTGATATTTCATGATTATTTCTGATGCAAACTTTCACATTATCATATATCTTCTGTAGCAATCTATTCATCTTAGGGCTAATACCATGTATTTTTCCTTAGCCTGACTCATGTATTATTGCTTGTCTCCTTTCCTTCCTGAACGTTAGTGGAACACTTGTATCTCCTTTTTGAAGCTCCCTTCAATAAAGCAGACGTAAAATCACTACTCACCATGAGTTGTCTTCCTCTCAGTTTTGGCGGGAAAACGGCGCCACCCGTCTTCCCACGCTTCACTCTCTCCTTCTTCGCCCTAGTGGACAGTTGGGAGAGCACCTGTGTCTCCAATACGGCACTATATCCTTTGATAACTTAGTTATTTCCCTATAAGTTACCTTTATAAGGTTTCAGGGAGTATCCTTTTACAATATGGTTTGAAATTTATTCGTAATTTGACTGTTTATTCACGGTTTTACGTGATTGTTCAGTTGTTTACATTTCATGAAAACCTGTTGTCGTTGTAGGTTTAGGTTATCTGCTGCAGACCCGCATTTACTGTGCCCCAGTTACACAACAATATGTACTTCCAGCTCTCGCTGTAACTTATGTCAGCAATTAACACAAATTCAATTTAATAATTATTATTT